TAGTACGCTACCAACTGTGTACGTGTAACACGTACGTAAGCGAGGACACAAACTCCTTCTATAAATAATTTTTAAACTCGGGTATCGTATGCCTCATGACGCCAAATCCCTTGATCTTGCCAAATCCCTCGATCGCTCTTTCAAAGATATCGGATGCATGTTATGTGCATGTATGTTATGTTATGCATTCAGTTAAGACTCAACTTTAACTTTAAAGTAAAAGTAGATTTACTGCCTGCATATGTCCAACTGACGGTCGCAGACCTTCTCTCAATTCTGAGATGGTTTTAGGTCAATGAAATTTATTTATTTATTTATTTATTTTCCACTATACAATTATCTTTACAGGTTTATCACCTAATGCGATAATGTAGACAACTATTTTACCAACTCCAACTACACAGTTACAAGCTAATAATTTTCGATTATAGATATGTACTTATTGCTATTTCAAACACGTATCTATATCACAGAAGGACCATAACTAATTTCAAATAGAGCTCTTACTATGAACCCACCCAGAGTACAACAAAATAATATCTATGTCTTCTGCTATACGGTTGAGGATACGGAGGGCGCGCGTAAAGGGCGCTTCAGTCACCAGCTTAGTGCGGCCGCGCGGCACAGCTAGCAGCTGCGGCCGCCGCCGCCGCCACACATATCTCTCCGGAACACATATGCGCACTTGTTGCAATACGTCTGGATTGTGAATCTTTCCCCTCGTCACCTTAAAGATATATGAAACAAGCGCTAAATTCCTCCTAACCTTTAGTTCATTGTATCCTACCATACCTAAGGTGAATAAGGTAGGATACTTATTTGGGTAAAATGGGTATACTCCATACATTTTTTGATATAAATATCTAATAAATATATTCTGCACTCTCTCCAACATGATACTATACTTAGTCTCATGTGGAGACCAGATGACCGCGTTGAATTCTAATTGGCTCCTCACAAAAGAATTATATAATGAATAAGAAATATTCACCGCGCTGTCTCGTGTACTCTCTCTCTCTCGTGTACTGTGAAATTTACAGCAAGCGTTCTATCCCATGTGCTACTAGGGTTATAATTTACCATTATTCAATCATAAATTTTACTTATAAATGTAACGAATTATGCTGGCTATATTTCAACCCGCCAACAAAGTCTAAAATTTTTATTTTAGACTTTGTTGTATTCAATACGTAACAGTTCAGGGGTATTTCCATTAAATTTGAATAAATATTACTACTCTTAAGTGTGCCATTATAGTGGATGAAGTTTGTTTATTTACGAGTATATAACTATTTAGACGAAGTTAAGATTGTAATATTAGGAATATTCTTCTCAAAAGGGTAAAAGATATTTTTGATATTATCATACCACTAATAATACATGATTGATAATATAATACCCCTGAGAATGAGGTGATCGTTACCATGCTCTTTCTAAATGTTTACAAAAATTGTATAAAATATTGTATCGTAAATTAATGTTTATAAAGTCCCGCTAGGTTTCTTGTTTGTTCTTCCTAGGACAAATGTTTTTATCCGAATGAGTGATGAAGCTTAATGGCATTCAAAAAGTATTTTTGTAATATTATTCTATTATATTTGCAAAAATCAAAATTCCTTGAAAGTCGGCTTTTACTTTTTACTAAAAGTAAATTTTAGACGTATAATAACTTTTTATAAGTTATTATATGTAATGAACTAAGCTACTTGTCGTAAAATTTTGGAATGAAAACTAAATTCTTGTTAACCTCTCGTCAGTCCAAAACCTTCTAAAGGTTGCTGTCAAAAAGTACGCATCTGTCCACAACCATCAGAAGGTTGCTGGTTACTTATAAACTTCAGATTCGAAACAGCCCTAGTAAAAGTATACGTATCTCCCTATAACTGGTACAACATGCAGAGAATTAAACAAAGACGGCAATTAATATCACACACGCTTCATAAACCAACCATAGAAGCTGTGAAATAGTAATACATTTATTCCGTTCAGTTGCTCGTTCTGTGACGCGGTGTCGTGTGTTTACGTGCAAAGTATTAAATGTTGAAAGTGATTTCGGAAGTCAATATTAAAGATAAACATGAATGGGTAAGTCATAAATACTTTTCTATTAATATAAAATATATTAGATGACGATTTGTACATAAATTGTTCCATTTTATCAAACATTGCTTGCCATTTCGACCGCCATGTTGAAACCATGATCGTATTAACTTCAATTGTTTTAAATTAAAAGTACAATTGTGAATGGTAAACATTGTCTTAATATCGTTAACATACTTATTTACAAACATAACAATAATTACAATTGCATAGTTTCGATTAAATATTTCATAAAACTAAAAATAACAAATTGCTTAAATCTCTCGTCCACCTGGCGGTTGTGGACAGACATGGGTTGTAAAGTTATTCACATGAAATCCGCCATCTTAGAGAGCAGGTTGTATAGTATGGATACGACTTTGGGAATGCCAGTGTTGGTATATTTTTACGATAATTTTTGGTGTGGATTTTTATTTGTTTCGTTTTATTTTTTTTGTCAATAAATTGTTTTACTTTTTGTATGTGCATGTCATTATATTCTTTTACTCTTTGTTTTCACTCTTAGCCCAAGGTTATCTGGAAGAGATTGCGTTTTGTACGTAGTAGTTTTTATTGCTAAGCAATAATCCTTAGCTCGTTGCGGTGCTATAGTTGGAATAGCCTCAAAGTACGAAACGGTCACCCATCCAGTTGCAAGCTAACGCGTGCGTTGCTTAAACTTTATTATGGATCTCGCACGCAAGCTATCACTAGGCTAGGGTCACTTCAAATTAAGTAAAATTAAAAAAAATCTAAATAACAAAAATATAAATCTTTATTTTGGCAAAAAGAATTGTCAAACATTTTTTATAATAACATTCAAATGTTAATTAAAAATATAAAAAGCAAAGAAAAATAACTAATTTGTATTTCATTTTAATTTTATGTTCATGATTACAATTATTAAAGAAGTCACCACAGAAAGTATCCATACTAGCATAGCTGGGTACTACGTCATACTTGGTGCTTTTTGTAGTGAATGTGTAACTTTTAGTTGATGATTTCTAACATAATTTTGTATAAAAGATGCCTTATTTGTTTTGTTTTTAACTTAGGAAATGTTATTAAATTTAGGAATGTACATTCACATGTAAATAAATTACAAAATTGTTCGTTACAAATGCAAAAGTTTGAAAGCATTTTTTTAGGGTCACTTTTTCAAGTGTTTGTTACAACTCGTTCATTTCTTAATAACTGAATAGTTGTAATATTTGAAACTGTTTATATTAAGAAAAAAGACCAAACTATAGCATAAGTTAAGATTTATAGCCCATTGTGCCTCAGGTGTCGTCGATATTGAAATACAAAATGTGCCTTTTTTTGTGCCTGTTTCGGGTCATCTTAAGTGGCCCACATTATTGTAGAGCTTATGGTGTGAAAAAACTGTACGTAGAGTTGTGTTTTTTTTATTCATTATTGTAAAGTGTGTTATCGTATAGTAAATGAAGTAAATATTTATTGAAATAATTGCTTAATTTTTTAATGATTACATTTTATATTCAACAAACTAGAAAAAAATCGCTTCTAGCAATTTTACCACCAAATTTATAACATACCAAAAGGGTGAACGTACACATTTACACATATTCTATTAGCTTATTTAACAATAATTCTAACAACATATCATATTATATAGTTCCCATACATAAATATTATGATATTGCCATTTTAATGACACGCGCCACGTAGGCAATATAACACTCGTTTAGGGTTTGACAGATGCGCCAAAGCGGCTATTTTGGCCCGGACTGCTGAGAGGTTAAGTTACACAAACGACTTATATAAACTGAAGTTTTACAAAGGATATTTGAAATCTTTCTTTTCCATTTTTGAGCGTTTATCTTGATGGACAGCATACAACGTGGATTTTTATTGACAACTATACAAATAGCTTTATCAATGTATACAACGTAAGCCTTGGACGTGGTAGTGCCACGCTGCATCTATATTATGGTTGTAGCACGAATGGGTCGGCTCGACCAGGGTGGGAAACACTTTCAAACTTAAACAGCAATCAGTAAATTTTAAAAGAGTGATTAATGTTTAACGCTAACAATTTGCTCTTAACGCCGATAAGACATAATGTATTTAATTTATTATACCTAATGTCAAACATTCGAATACTAATGTGCTCTTAAATGGGGAGGAGTTGAGTCTTGTGGATTTCACTACTTTTCTTTGTATTGCTATTCACACGAAACTTCAATGGATCCCCCATATATCTAAATTAGTAGCAGACTTAGTTCCGCAGCATATGCAGTAAGAAAGATTTGAAGTCTCACCAATATTGAGACTGCTAGATTAGTTTATTTTAATTACATTCAAAGCATAATGTCTTATGGAATCTTGCTATGGGGTAAATTGAAGTCATATTTGTTTTCGAAAGCGAACCATACTGGCGATTTATATCTAAAATTGTAAAGAGTCCCGTAGAGAAAAAATTAAAGAAATAAACGTATTAAATTTGGCATCGAAGTATATTTATAAAAATGTAATGTATGTGCATAAAAACATAAATATCTTTTATAAGAATAAATATATTCATACTTTAAACGCTGGGAACAAACACATGTAGGGGAATGTATACGCTTTTACAACTGGTAACTGGTACTGGATAATATTAGCGTTAAACGATAATTTAGAATTTTCTGAACTTCTAACGTTATTTAAAATTGTCAAAAACTTATCAATAATAAGGTTAGTATCAGATTTTCTTTTCTTACTGCTATTATTAAGAATAACTTACTCACAGCTGGAACAGCCACTTCAGTACATTCTCCTCGATTTGCGCTTTTCATTTTGATCGTATATCCTTCGTTTATTTTTCCTTTAGTGTTGTTTTGTTCCTTCTTTTCAAATTCCTCTTATTCATATTTGTGTAGAGTGATCTTTCGCCCTCTAACCTGAGCTCTCCTTCACCCTCAAACCTCAAACCTGGACCATTCCCTGCTCTCTAACCTGAGCATCCTCTGGCCCTCTAACCTGGCCTCACCTTCTCCTTCAAACCTGGGCCATTCCCTGCTCTCTAACCTGAGCATCCTCTGGCCCTCTAACCCGGGCTCACCTTCACCCTCAAACCTGGGCGATTGCCTGCTCTCTAACCTGAGCATCCTCTGGCCCTCTAACCTGGCCCCACCTTCTCCCTCAAATCTGGGCCATTCCCTGCTCTCTAACCTGAGCATCCCTTGGCCCTCTAACCTGGCCTTACCTTCACCCCAAACCTGGGTCATCCTATGCTCTCTAACCTGAGCATCCCTTGGCTCTCTAACCTGGGCTCATTATCACCCTCAAACCTGGGTGAGTCAACTTCATTGGTTCGACAACTCGACCGAGTCCAATGTTATCCATTGTATTCGTATCTGAAACTTCCAATAGAGTAGTTTAAAATACAATCTTCGGTATCAATTCATCGTCAGATTAATAAATTATCATAAGTTATTAGTTCGTACACATTTTATCAAAATTTTCAATGGTCGAATTCGAATTACATAAGATTTCTTAAGATTCTTACAGAAAAAGCACAATGAGGAAAAACGAGTTTAATGCTTTTGAAAAAAATATGGAAAAATAATGACAATTTAACTTCTTTCCTTTCCACCCTTTATTTTTTGCAACTACACATTGATTTTTATCTACGTACGAAATTATGAGGATATTTTAAGTACCAACATCATTTCTTAATGATAAACTAAAACCCTTATTATAAGAAAAAAAAGACAGAAGGAGAATTAAATAATAACTAGTTTTTATTTTTGCTTTTATTTGAAAATGAAAATATAATTCTATATTGTATTCTACATTACGAAAGTAAGCGGCACAAAAAATAAGCGATAATTAGTGAATTATTTCAATTAACGATATTTTTTTGTAAAACAAAAATAAATAAAAAAATAGTGTGGGTAGATAAATAATAAACAACTTCAATATAAAAGACTAGCGTCACTAATATATTAATTTAATTAAATTAAATTAAAAATTGTTTATTTCTTTAAAATATCACACATTACATAGGTTTGGGAGTAAGTGAGACATCCTTTTAAGTAAATGTATACTTGTGACAGGATGTCCCGCTCTTCTATAGCTAGAATTACATTTTTTGTTTATTATTTAACTAACTTTAATTACATTTACTAAACACAAAAAAAATACAAGAAACTAAGCTCACATTTATTTAATAAAGGTTCTGTATAAGTGTGTGTGTGTGTGTGTGTGGTGTGTGTGTGTGTGTGTGTGTGTGTTCGTGTGTGTGTTTGTATGCGTATGTAAAGTTTATTTACTAACTTTTAATAATGCCTCGACCTCATCATAGTTAAGTTTAAGAAGCCATTCTGTGACTGTCTTTTTGAGCTCATTAGAATGCAGTGGATTGATGTTTGGTTTTTTTATTGACTACGTTGTATAAATAACCAGCCTGTCTCTTAAATTGGTGACTAGCAAAATTTGTCTTAACTAGAGTTAATTAAAAAGCTTTTCCTCGTCTATTACTACTTTTGCAGTTGTGGAAAGTTGTTTTGTGTATTGTTAAAAAATTTACATAAAGACAATAGTATCTAATTTGGTTTATTTTAAAATTAATGACAACCACTTAATATATATATATATATATATATATATATATATATATATTCCCACCAAAAACATTCTGTAAAAAACTAGCCAAGTCTCGATGGAGCTGCTTGTTTATCTCTAAAAAGTAATGAAATCTAGGCAAAGTCGTGCCAAGTCTAGTTCCTTACGAATTTCTTTATTATTATAGTTAATGTTGTGTGACTTGGCCGTTGAAGGGTACACAAGGGTACAAAACCAGGTGCTACATGACACCCTTGCACAAACCTGTCGCCAGAACCGCTATCCATTGAAGATGGAAAATTGCCACTTGGAAAACGTTGATTGTAGGAGTAGTACCAGTCAATTGTAGGCGTCAAATCGACCACCGATCTAACATAAAATAGACGTACAGACGGACTTCTATCAATGATTCTAAGTCCGCCTGTACTGGAAATAATTTTTTATACTGTTTGTTTCAGGCTAGCCTATACAAAAGTATTATTGAAATACGCAGCTTTATCAAGCTTACAATTGATTGTTTTCCAAGTGGCAATTTTCTATCGTCAGTGAGTAGCGGTTCTGGTGACAGATTGATGCAAGGGTGTCATGTAGCACCTGGTTTTGTACCCTTGTGTACCCTTCAACGGCCAAGTCACACAACATTAACTATAATAATAAAGAAATCGCAGTAAGGAACCTTAGACTTGGCACGACTTTGCCTAGATTTCATTACTTTTTAGAGATAAACAAGCAGCTCCATCGAGACTTGGCTAGTTTTTTACAGAATGTTTTTGGTGGGATTTCACTTCTTTTTGTAGAAACGTCGGCACATTGATTTATTTTATTAGATTTTCTCATTCGATACATTTTTTTTCTTTTTAGGAGTATTTTTTTTATTATCCCACCTCACTTTTTGTACAACGCCTAATGACCCATTCACTAAACCTAAACTAACATCAATATTTCTCCTAAGCATTACTTTAGCTCCCTCTTTAATGATTATAGTTTCTTCCAGTCCAGCAGTCATCGACGCATCATCTTCATATTTTTGTAAACACGCCCGGGCTTTCGTTATCATACATTTTGAACAATCCAAGGAATCTTTAGCAACTAACTTTATCTCGGGGTGCGGAATCGCTTTTAACATAGCATTATTTAACTGCATAAACATATTTGTAAGTCGGTAGTAAACAAACAGTATCTTCTGGTAAGTCTAGTGTAATTTGTTTATTTAACCTTTCTCCTACTGCGCCCGCCGTAACAAAAAATAGCTTTGTCACCTCAGCTGGCGGCACTTGTTATAAACATTTATGTTTCTCACTTATGTTTAAAGAGGTTTTTGTTACAGTTATTTAAAGCCGATAAGATTTTCGATAAGTAGAAACAATAACCATAACATTTAAATGTTTATTTTATTTTGTACAGCTCTTTGTTTCTAACGGATCTTGATAAAGTGTACTTACTGACAACAAATTTTATTTTATGAATGAAATATCATAAGTTTTTATTTTATTTTTATGTCCTTACAATCAATACAACATATTCTTCCTAAATGAACCGAAATTGTGCATGTAATAATTATAATAATTCTACTTTTTAACTTGCGAACATTTGCTAAAAATTCTACAATAGACAGTTTGCGCGCGCTTTGTAATCTCATTTTCAAAACCTTTTTGTGTATATATTATAGAGTCTTCCTTTATTTTTCTTATACAATCATATAGATATAACATTTAGCAATTCCTAGTAAAAGTATTTACTATGGTATTCGAATAAGAAATATACTATTATTATCTTATTAGAAATCTTGACCGTTATGAATTGTTCGCGTAGAGGTTTTTTGATTCTACTTTTTTATCAATTGAAGCATAAAAAGTTACTGTTGTTGTAACTTAGATCATTCAAAAACATTACGTAGTAAAGATAAATAACATTACTTATAGTTTTTTGAAAGAAAATCCAACTAAAATCACAATCACAAAACTTCAACGATTACGAAACTAACAGCACCAACAGCACAAAAGCAAATGGCTGTTATATTTGATTTTGTCTATGTAACCGAGTGAATATAGTTCTTCCGAATACTCTTTAGTTCGTTCAGAATCGAATGAAATAGTGTTCAATTGAAAATATACTGTATTTTTATATCAATTAATGAAGAAAATAGCAGCACGTAATGCGGACATAAATTCATGTCCTCGGTACTCAACGGTCTCGTCGAGATGAATTCATGTCCACGTTACCTTAAAGGAATTTGAGTAATGTGCGAGTAGAATAAAGTTAATCGTTCGACTATTTTTTCTTGTAAACTTGTAAGTATAGGTATAAAAGCCAATCTAGTGTTATCCAGAGTTTTCCTTTAATTTTATTTACATGCGTATTAAAAGCAGAAGGGGGAGGCATTCGCCCAGCTGTGGGACGCTATAGGCTAGATTCAATTAGATGTGTCCCACTACGCTGGATTTTTGCAATGACAGTAGATTTTTATGTACCAATGGTAGAAGGGGGCATTACCATATCTCTAATACAGCTGAGACCAGCTGAGGGTTCTTCATCAGATACTTTAGACTTTTTAGACTTTTTGACATCAAATGAAACGGCCCACCAAGTTGAATATTTTTTGTAAAGGCGGTATGTCGATCTCTTCTAATAGTTTGGTTGGGCTCTTGTGTTTTCTAATCAGGGTCACCAGGTACTCCAGATGTTCGATTACCATAGTTTTTATAGTTTTCCCTTTATGTGGCCATTAAACCCTAACTCTGTACCAAATTTCAGCTCTCTGAGTTTATGGGAAGTACTAGTTCTATTCTGATGATCATGAGTGAGTGAGTGAGTGTCATAAATGCGAAACTTTGCTTTCGCTTAACTTCAGAACTAAATGACCTACAGACTTGAAATTTTGGATGATTTTAAGTATGTGATTATAGTTTATTGGATGACGAAAATTTCTGCGTTCTGGTATTATCCAGAGGTTCTAAAATAGGGGCCTGAAAATGCGGCGAAATGGTTCCAGTAAAGGATGGTACGGCAGTGTTTGCTTCGCGCTCGACTTGGCGGGGGCACTGCCGTGCCCCCCGATTTAATTAAATAAAAATGAGCAATTGAAGTTGGCCTTTGTGGACGTGAAAGAAAATTATAAAAATTCTCTAACGATCCCACTTCTGAACAGTTGTCATCAGCTCAATCACGGGGAATCGTAAAAAAAAGATCAAATATTCCACATAATCACATCTTTCATCAGAGAGGGCGCTACTGAGCAACGATAAACATTGTATCCGTATTAAGTGTAAAATAAAAATATAAACAAGTGATATTTAATTACAAAAACAAGTGGAGTGGTATAATAAACAAGTGTCTATCGCAAAACATTATGGACAAGGTTCATAACAGTGAATAACAAATTATTACTCGTGCAAAATAGTGAAGTGAAAAAGACCTCAAAACTGATCTATTAACAACATTTCCCGTACTAGATCCTATATAAAACCCTTTCAACGTACTCACGACTACTAGAACTAACAGAATCTTTACAAAACGTAAAGTACGATATAATTGGTCTCTCGGAAGTCAGAAAACTCGGCAACAAAATAAAAGAACACGATGAGTTTATTTTCTGCTACATCGGAGAAACGCCAGGACTATATGGAGTAGGCTTTATTATTAAAAAATACCTGAAAAAATA